GCTGTTTTTTGGAAATTAAAACGGGACGGGGTGGTGCATTGATGGGACTGGTCACCGGACCGTCGTATAAATGAGTCTGTGATGACGTCAGGTAGTGTGACGTGATGGAATAATTTGACCTCGAGCGCGTGGTTTCATTTTTCATAGGAGGGTTTTCATAAAACAGCGACTCATTCTGCTGAAAAATAAACAAAAAGAAGGAACGTGTTATTGTTCGCAAATTGCTTCCGTGATCGGATGGCTCTGACTTTTTTTTTGGTGATACGATTTATATTTTAGATTTAATTGTATTATGTGCAAAAGTGCTTTCACTGATGCTGCCCTCTGGCATTACAGCCTATGTTTATGGCTAGAGATAAATGTGTACTGGAATTCGTGCATTGTATTTAAAAAGTTTGGGTTCGACTAAATTATAAGTTCCAACAACTGTCGTAAATCTCGTGTGTCGTGTCACAGTTTCCGCTCCTGAACAGTAGGGACAAACCGGAAATGTGAGTTATTACACAAAGTGTCATTCATTACAATAAAATCTGATTATGAAAGGGCTTACAAAACTTATCGAACATACACAAACAAACCCATTTTAATACTGTTACCATGTACAGCGACTATGAAGAATCCCATTTAAAAAAAAACAGCTTGGGCACGTAACTGAATTTCCCAGTCTTTACTTCTAATTCAGATTATATTTTCGGATTGTAGTCTTTTCATATCTTTTGGTCTGTATCTATTTTTAGTTTCTTTTTCATTGCTGTTGTGTTGAAGAAAATAGTTTGTCGGAACGTAATGACAACAGGATGTTGGAGTTTCTAAAAGGTTGCCATTGGGCTTAGCTGTGTGTTGTAGAGGGTACAGAACTGGGAGGGCCATCATTATTGCACAAAGCGTTCATTATAATTTGCCACAGGGGCCTTTTGTTACGGCGACAGTAGGTAACGGGGTTTAGCTCCTTCTCAATACGTGGACCCCAGAGACTACTGACCTTCCTCTACCCGAGGAAAAGGACGGAGATGCAGTGCCTCATCATATGCTCTGTTCACGTCCCATTTGTACTCAATACTTCTCGAAATCTTTGAAGTTTTGTACTGCAATCAGAGGGTAAGCCATGTAGTTTCTTGTTCCCTTCTTAAAACTAAATACTGTTGGATCTATACCGACTACGTATCCGTAAATAAGCCTATATTTGAATTCAGCATAACAAATAAGGTCACATTTTAAGAATCGTTTCTTTTGCCAAGACTCTCCAGGTGTACTTCAGCTTGGTTATACAAGTTGAAGACTTTTCTTTTCTCGCTTGAGTATTGCTTGTTCATTTCTCAGTAAAAACTGATGACACTGTTCAAATTTCTGCACTATTCATATCCCAAGGCCCATCCTGTTTCCCAAAATACGATGGGCTTTGAATTATCGTGGTTTTTGAACGAGTGGAAAACTTGTGTGAGATTTCAGATTTTCAGGACCGACACGATGTTTATCATATGGGTTGTGGCGCCCAGTGGACTTGTGGCAGTGTGTTGGAGGAACATACTGCTTCCATTATCAGGGTATGACTTGTGTCCCAGACAATGAAAGAGATGACTCCTGTCGTTTGAATACTAGTGTTATTGATGTGTTTAATGAATCCAATGTTGTGGTCATGAACTTGAAGCGAACGATATCAGCGGTTCGAGTTGGTGGGCTTGGCTACCGCCATGTTCGAGACATTCTCACCAAAAGCTATTATCGTAAACATCTAGTTAGAACAAAGTGACTGATGGAGGAACCAACACTTATGTAAGTAGCACATCTGATTTGAAGATTTCTGTCTTCTGGGTTCTTGCGCTGTGTAGTCTGGTCGATGTTAACCAACGTTTCATTCATCGCCCTGATGACGGAGGCAGTATGACCTCTGAAACGTTGGTTAACATCGACCAGTCTACACAGCGCAAGAACCCAGAAGACAGAAATCTTCATACTCATCGCTGTGAAAACCTCAAATCTTACACATCTGATTTGTTTGTAATGAAATATTTAATTACCCGTGACTAAATTTTTAAGCACTCCCCCCACGTCGAACTTCAAGTCCTGGGTACGATCTAGTGCGAACCGATTCGCGATCGTGTCTTTTGTGTTTGTACCCTCTCTCGGACTAGACCCGCGCCCTTTTGTTTACAGAACCGCAACATTTACATGTTACTATGAACATCATAATAAATAAAACAACTTGGATTGAGAAACACGAAATAAGCGTAGGTAGTTGATTTTTACATGAAACCTGGTTACAGGTTGATAGTTTATGTAATGCCTTGAAGTCTTGGCCTTCAGTAAGTGAACGTATGTCTAAGAGGCTTATTTCCATATTAAGATCCGGCAAAACAGGCTCCATCGCCCAACTTCTGACGCTGCGGCGTCAAGAAATTTGATCTCGGCAGAGACTGTCTTGTGCGTCCAAGGAAAAATTTGTATACAGCTGTTTACTATACATATGAGACGCTGTGGGGAAGAAAGTCGTGCTTAAAAATGCCACAACTATGCTCCTAACTTAAGGGGTTTTACTGAACGAATGGATCGCAATTTGTGTTGATTCTAAGCATATACCTCTCCATCTCTTCTGTTAATTGTAATGAGAAAGAAGCACGCGATATGGACAACATGTAATTTTGATTTTCAAACTCTAAAATAAAAATTTAGCTTTCTTGGAGTTCTGAGACGGTTCTACAGCTAGTTCATTGACTGCAAGCCCTGCCTGTAACTTTAATGCAGACAAGGGTCAAATCTCACCATTTTCATTAACATTGATGCAACTGTAGAATGCTGTATATCCTGTATCGATTTACTGAACCCATGCCAAAATGAAAATGTTACCGAAAATAACTTACCTCCAAGTTCATAGCCGACTGGGATTTGAACAGTGTACCTTCCAGGTACAGCTCTGGAGCGTTACCAGTAGGCTAATTTACTCGGTCTTGTAAACGTTTGGGTTTAGTTTACGTTTTAGAAATGATAGTTTATGTGTTTATATAATGTGGATGGGTGACCAGTGTTTTCGTTTTGGACAGTATTTGTGTCGAATCGGTTCAGTATGTGTTGCGTATGATAATGGCCCGTGACCCTCATATTATACAGGACCGTGCCTGTGCTCTGCTGATGTTGTATCTGTGGCTACTTAAGAAAGTGCGATCTGAAATGTCCTTGTGGTTTATATTTCGTATCATTACCATTCCACTTTGCATACGCCGTCTTTCTCAGGAATATGAAATATGTAAAAGAGATTAACTGCTTTAGTTTACGAGTGCTAGTGTTCCTGAAGTTGCATTGCATCAGAGTTTTAAGCTTTTCTAGGAAAGGCGATTTGATAATTAGCATACTCTGCGCTTTACTTGTACAGTCTGATACTGTTGTTGTGTAGCACTGACACAACGAATCTTGGCTGAGTTTATTTAGCACGAGTTCATCTATCGCAGATTAAACTTTATATGCTTTTCGTAGATAAATCTCACCACTGAGGGATTTATTTCACTGCTAACAGAAATATAATGCTGCTACTGACAATTTTGCACACCGATGAACTATTTTATTTTAATGTAGTAAGATTAGCCTGCTGTGTGCTGTACAAAGATGATAGGTTTCTTTTGAAATGTTTAAATGTGTTAAACAGAAATTACTTAAAATTCTACTTTAGCCTGTATTTCTTAAGCCTTAGCTCTGTTAAGTCAGTATTTCAAGACATTTACACGTTATAATACCTCCTCCATGCCCCCTGTCCTGTCAGCAATTTGAAAAAAATGCACTAGAAATTAAAATAATTAAATTAAAATAATGAAATCGGTTTTTTGTATGCAGATTTGCGTTTGTGAACTAGGAAAAACGTGGTAAAAGTTCTTATTGTTATTGTAGACAAATGTTCTCAACCTTTTTAAACCTGTGCTAATATTCACTCTTCCTTACCGACTCGTGGGCTGCCATATTATTATTAAAAGTAACTAGCTGACAGTTGCAAACGAGTTAGCATGTTAGTCAATGATTGTCTTTAACAAAGCTGCCATTTATCAGATATTTGACACTGCTTTTTGCTCCAGCGATCTTTCGGTATCAGATTTAATTTCTGTTAATACATTTTTCATTCGTCCCCCCCACTGTTAGCATTGAGATGTGTTCTCGTTCGTGACGTCACGTTCTTCATTAAGCTGAGCAGTTGCATGCAGCGACTGCCAAATACTAACGAAGCATTAACAACGCGTGTTCTTTGACATCAGGTAACAGTTTTGAGTCATACACCGCGGGCCGCTGGTTGTGGTTGTTGTAGACCCCTTAATCAGGAATAGTTTGGGTTTCTATTTGACTTCTTGATCAAATTACAGAAATGCACTAATGTTCTGTCATGTTATGATAGAAGGCCAGCATGTATTATCCTGTGATGACGCATTTACTAGTCTACTGAAGACGTTAATGGGGCCGGTTTGTCGATGATTAGATACAATACGTTTCGTAGTTTTTACTCGCTGCTTGGCGTAATTTCTGTACCAGGTTAATGCAGACCTTAACATCTTGGTTTTATTAGGATTCAAGACGATTCGCTTGGAGATGGAAAGTCTGATTACAGAGACACGTGGATTACAAGTGCAGGTGAAATCTATGTCTTGGCATGACTGCGCAAGCTGGAGAAGTAGATCTCAGGTGCAGGCAACAGAAGAACGAATCATCATCTGCGATAGTACACCATAACCATTACCAGATGATTTGCTCCACATAAAGCTATGCAGCAAACTGACCTGCCTCACCTCGCTAAAAGTCGTTGACCAAGTGGACTCGTCTATCTGCGTGACTACGCCCGAAAGAACTAAATATCGTTTCTAAGTGCCGTGAGCTGGGGCACTAGGTCTAGCCTACACCAGACATCTCGATACGCTTGAGACATTTGGGTACATTTGACTGATAATCAGAGAAGGGGGGGGGGAATAATTAAAATGGACTTCTGTTGTTATGCTACAGTTTCATACAGGTAATTTTTATTTTTGCAGGTTCACGAATTATGCGACAACTTCTGTCATCGGTACATCAGTTGCTTGAAGGGCAAGATGCCTATTGACCTGGTAATCGACGAGCGGGAGTCGACTAAACCTCCCGAGCTCACCGGCTCCACCAATGGTAACGACGGCGCACGCAGCAACGCCGACTCGACGTCACACACGGACGGTGCCAGCACCCCGGACGTGGTAAGTACTTTATCCCGAGTTCATTGTGCCGGCTGGTCTGGCCTGTAGAGCAGCGTTACCTTTTAAAGACACTGGTCGCTATGGTACCGCCTGCTTTAATAATGAGTTATTCTGCATTTTGACTGCGGATTGTGTTTGTGTGTTTTGTATGATTATCTGAATAAACAGCGGTTTCTTCCTTGAACACTCGTGGACCAGGCGATCTTCGTAATGGGGAAGTGCTGTATTTTTTATATGCTGCAGGGACTGAGTCTTTAATGTTACTGAGACGAGCTTCGACTTCCAGTAATGAAGGACGATCACGGATGCGCGTAAATATGGATTATCCGTGAAACGATATTTGTCAGAGTAAAACCCGAAATAAGCCTACTGAGAGCAATCCACAAGTCCTTCGATTACTAAATTCAAAGAATCATTATAGGATCATTATAAACTAATCTAATTTCGAACGTATCGTTCCATCTTCATTGTTCAATTTGACGGAAAAGTTGGTAATCACCGACAGAACTAAACTACGCGGTGTCAAAAGTCAGTAGTAGTCCGTACGTACATATTCATGAATTGTACGTTTAAATTCTGATAATTGCACTGTACTTTAAACATACTGCTGACCGGTAAATGCTGCTATTATTCATTGTGCCTGAAGCATATAGGATTTTGGGCTGTCGCTAGTTTTACGCTGTTAATTTGTATAAATATCTTTGGAATAAGGAAGTACACACTATGGGGCTGTAATATTCCTGCCATGTGTTAGGAAATATTTGTACAAAAATTGTGTTTGTGCTGTTGTCGACGTACTTGGACGTCAGAGAGTTACCAGAAAGGAAAGTCATGTAGATCGTTGAGAGGGAGAGCTTGGGGCAGCCACATCATTCCACACCAGGAGTTATAAGGGTAATTACCTCGTTATTGATCGTCATTTTTAATTCACTTCAGAAGAGAGAAAACATATGGAAGCGTATTGGATTTTTGTCTGCATAATCATGAGCAATACTGTACGCTTGCCAATAGTGTGCAGGCCTTCCGACTGAATCTTACATCAAAATCAGCGGCTCAGATATTATCTTGTTATTACAGGAACTTAAATAAAAAAATTATTTAGTTTCCTTTACATTATTTTGTTCCTCTCTTACTTGTTTGGTTACACTCATGTGTTATTGTGTTGAATATAGGTCTATTTGTATTTGTATTAAGTAGCCACCGAGTTGTAGTATAATGCCAAAGTAACAAGAAGCATTTAAAATAACTGCAGCTCTGTTCGTAATGAAAGCAATGGCTTTACTTTCGTTCCATCCAGAATTGTTGGTATTTGAAATCACAGTTTTGATCCAACGAAAAGCCCTATTAGGTGAAATTCAGCATTTACCGTTTTAATGAGAGTCACAGCCGGAAGAAGAAACCTTCACAGCGATTGAAAAAGTTCGTCGAGAAGTGCTGATAAGTGGCGTGTGTTCGAACCATTTCGTGTCAGTGAGAGGATCATTGTCCAGAGCTGTCATTAAGCCATTTTTAACTTAAACTCTTTTATTTACATGGATAGTAAAATATAATTATGTGACAATAAAAGTATATTGAAGTAAAATTTAACTGTAGCTTTATGTGGTTGTGAAATTTGTTTCTTCACCCTGAAGGAACAATATAAAGAAGATAATATTTGGAAAGAAAAGAGAGCTGGATAAAATTCGATAGTAAAGTGCTTCATGATTTATACTCTTCACCGAATATTATTTATTATATCAAATCAAGGGCAGTAAATGGGCGGGACATGTAGCATACATGGGGAAATCAGAAATGTATACACAATTTTTGTAAGAAAATGTGAAGAAAGAGCATTTGGAAGACCAAGGCTTAGATGTGAGGATAATATTAGGTTCGATCGCGGAGAAATAAGTTGGGGATACCTGGAGTAGGGATTCCTTGCTCAGGATAATGACAAGTGGCGGTCTTTTGTGAAAATAGGGTGAATATCCCAGTTCTATTAAAGGAGATTTATTACCGATTTGACTTTTACTTTTCACAGAAACCGCAGCAGAGGATTAATTAGTTAATAAAAGTTCAGAGCTTCACAAATGGTTCTTTGGTTTCGCGGGTGTTGAAACTTGCACTGGAACAGCGTCTGGCCACCCTCGCAGCGATTGTATGGATTGCATTCAAGTTCATGTATGCAGAAAATCCGTTTTATTGTCGTTGTGTTTTATTTGGGGGTGGGGACAGCGACATTCCGATTTACCATCAGCTGAATTATACTGTATATAATCAGTTGCGTGTAGATTTACTTAGTCACTTGTAAACAGTGTATTCCCGCTATTAATAGTACGGGGAAACTTGGAAAATTAATTAAAAACAAAACTATTTATTTTTCGTCCTACAAGTGTAATTTTATTCCGAGTCTAAAGTAATGAAACTGACACTTGACACATCGAAATTACCCGTTTTTTTCATAATTGATTTTTAACTGTCACAGTTTTGAAACGAGACTAATATGTGCCTAATCTTCGTAGTTTAATTTTGATGCAAGTTAAATGCGGTTTTAACATGAACATTCGGAACTACTTTAACCAAAATAAAAGAATTTAAAAGGCGTGTGTGTACGCTTGTACACTTACATTTGGTTCGAAGTAGGTACATGTAAAGTCTCCATACAGAAATGCTACGATGACAACTGTTCAGTTTCAGATCCAAAATAAGAAAGGATGAAATACGGAAAATGTCGTCACCCATACACTATTATTAATTATAGCCTACATCCATATGCGAATTAATTAGTCCCGAGTCGTCTCCATAGACATACGTAACCTGAACATGCTCTTTTCTATATGTGTGTGTGTGTGTGTGCGCGCGTGCGTGCCATTATTAGACGTAGCAGTACCTGTTAATAACTAATAGGTTTATACGAGATTTAAATCTAAGCCCAAGCCTCCAGAGACAGCAGGAAGCTGCCTTAAACTGTGGAGGAATACTATCTGTATGTATTATTGGGAAGGGTTAGAATTTCCTTGTGGAAACATTTAGTTTAAAAAATGTTACTATAGCCTGTGCTACAAACTGTGTAAGATATAAGAAACATATTTGAAACAAGTAAGTTGTAAGTGTTTATTTAAAACGTATTTGTTGGAGAAATTAAACTTTAGTCCATTAATAAATATGGTGGTATCTTATATCGCATGTGTATGGGCACCATATACCGTGAAACTCATAACCCCTTTGAATTGAGTTACAGTACTGGCACTTTTTCACTTTACATCTTGCATTTTGTAATTTGTTTTAGAGGACTCAGGAAAACATTGAATATTTTTTGTTGATATTGTTACTCCAAGAATGTCAATATTGATAGTTAAATGTCGAGAGGCGGAAATTGGCTCAGCTCCCCCACCCCGGGAGACGAGACATTGCACTGGTCAGGAGTTTTTAAACTTTTATTTATATTTTGAAATACCATTTGTCATTGCCTCTTTTAATTATTTGTCCATGCCCCATATAGAGAATTAGCATGGGTGGGGTGGCAATGGTCGCCAAGCTAGAGAAGAACATTATTTTTTTTTCCCGTTGGTCTTAAACATTTGCGGTGCAGTTTATAGAACTTGCCCCGACTACTAAAATACCTAGTTACGCTTCAGCAAATTCGTACTTGTTACACAGAATTTTTTTATTTAATTACGAGCAAAGCCGTCTGATAACGTGACGTCATATAGACGTAATACACACAGCGCTGTTACCTGGTAACATGGAACGGGTTACAGCTCATCCACAGAAAAGGTAATCGATTGAATAAATACAGTATTTTGCATTCACTTTAAACAATGTGTTGACTGAGAGCGAGAGAGGGGTGAGGAGTCTGCAGACACGAAGTGTTCTTTTGTGCAGTTCACGTGCGATTGAATACGCTTGATATTTGTTAACTGCAATATGCTGAACTTTCTTCAAAGGATCTTGTTGCGGACAGATAACTTCAAAGGTATAATTCTGGCTGCCAATTGTACTGGCGTGTAAAAGGACTATGAGACTAGATTCACAAATAAATTATTAGGATAAATGCTATTGTCAATAAGGCAGGCACTGTAAGTTAGGCTTTTGGAAATTACCCTAAACCGCATTAGGGTTGATGCAGCGTATCTTATTGTTCAGTAAGCATGCTATTCTTTTTTTTGTCTTCATTGTTTTTTTAAGGACAGACGATGAATATCTGCCTTGCATGAAGGTATACAGAAGAGAATTTTATTGCGTGAATAAGTGTGTTACACTGAAGTATTTCCCTCGAGTACAGTGGCAGGTGACACTGACAGCCACTAAGCTATTCTTGCAGGTACAATGACAATCTTTGTATACATACGCAATTATCACAAGACATTTCGTATTATTTAATGCATAATCAATATAGCAGCTCAGAACAGAGGAGTTTGTGTGTATAGAAGTCTACTGCAGGTTTTGAGGGCGCGTTGCCAGTACCAAGTGCCATGTCTGTATGATTTAATATTCGGTGCCTAGACAAGGCGGCGGGATTACATTAAACAGGAATTTCACCCCGCATTCACCCTCATCCCATGACGCCCCACTTTTCTTGAAGGAACGGATTCTGAGAACTGTCCATGCCTGATTATTTGTAAATACAGATGGTCGTTAGCTGTTCTGTTTGTGGAGATTTCTACAGTTTAATATTTCATGACACAAATAAGAAATTTGATTGACGTGGAAACGTAAGTTGTGTTTCAGGGACTTAAGAGTTGGTCTCCTTTATACGAAATTTACAAAGCAAAGTATCGAGTACTTATATTTCTTTTACGAGATCCAGTCAGTACTTTCGCTGTTGACTTCGTAATTTTAAGTTGAACATGATTGCCACTAATATTCTACTTGTTTTAACTTTAATGATTTACGCTATTCCTGGAACCCTATAGGCATTATAATGCAGTGTCAGTTTAACGTCTTGTTCTCGTTTCGTGTCCAGGTTAATGCTGTTATTGAGGTCCTATTGTGACTGCGCGGATTATTATGGCGAGGGA